AATTGATCATGATTGCACAATGTTCTTAACAGGAAAAATAATCAAACAACCATGATAAATGAAGTGCACTTGTTGTAGAGAAAAAAATTAACAAGGTTCCCTTACCTGAGCATCACCCCTATCACTGTTTTCCCCAGTCTTGGATCCATTCCCAGAATTCACACTCACATGATTGATAGCAGCAATGTTGTCCGAGGCAGCTGTGCTCCTACTTGACTGCATCAAGAGTTTAGTCGAGAAAATCATTGTCAGATGCTTCACAAATAATCTAACAATCAACTGACTGAGCGCGTGGCTAATTTGTCGCCATATTAACTCTAGCACTTTGAGCATACCCAACGCCTCCTCCAAACATGCTGCCATAAGTTCCGCAACTCATTCTTCCTTACTGGTTTCACAAGAAAATCTACAGCACCATTTAGCATGCATTTGTGCACAACACTGATAGAATCTCGGGAGGACATCACTGTAACAGAAAGCACCATCATAGACTAATCAAGATAGATAAACAAATATCTAACAGAGAGATAGCTCGTCTCTAGGTTTCAAATTAACCATGCAATTTCAAATAAATGGTTTATTTATGTTAAAAGATCATTATAAAAAAAAAACTAGCAAACAAAGATCGATCAAACCAATCAATGGTGAGAATGACACTGACTCCAATGTCAAAATTGACAATTCAGGCAATTTTACAGCATGAGAAATCCTACATATATGAAATCATTATAGAGCAGGATACTCCAAATAAATTGCCGACATAGTAAAGAAGAAGATCATAGTGTCGGGGTGAACCCTAACACATAGCCTAAAGTTGGCATTTTGAGCGACCCATCTAAGGTGGAACCAAACAATCGGAAAGAAGGTCAGTTATAAGTGCGCTGGAGTAATCGTTGGGTTGGTTTCAGCGACTTACTGATCACAGGAATGTTTTTGCACTGCTCGGCAGCCATAATTTTGGAGAGCAACTCAATCCCGGAAAGCGAAGGTATGTCCACCTCCGTGAGCACGAGATCGAAGTTGTAGCGCTTCTCCTTCAAGACTTCCCACGCCTTGAGCCCGTCCGCGACCGCCACGACTTCGACCATACCAATTTAAAGAATCAAATGTTGGAAGCTCCCCGATCAGATTGGAGGGCAGAGGGGAAGTGGAGAGACATACCGTTGTAGCTGCATTTCCGGAGGAGCGCCATGACGATGTGCCGGGTGGAGTCGTCGTGCTCAACGACGAGGATGCGGAGTGATCTCCGGGGGAGGAACCTCTCCCACCGAACCACCTGCAGTTCGGATCTCGGGCCGGCACCGACCGCGGCGCTCTCCCCTGTCCGCACCGCATCGTCAGCGTCGCGCGATCCTCCCCCGCTGTCCCTCGCATCCGCCGTAGCCGTTGGCGCCCCCTCGTCCCGATCACTCCTCACCCCCACCTCCATCGTGCAACAGAGAGAGAGGGAGAGAGAGAGGAGTGAGGGAGGAGGCAAAATGAGATTTTTGGTCGAGTGGGGATGAAACCGGTGGCCACGGCAACTCGAGCGGGGAGGAAGAAATATCCTATAGTCGTGGCGGGTGCGGATCCAGCAGGCCACGCACAACGCGCGACAGCAAGAACTCACCACTCATAATACGATACCATCCTGGTGTCCACAATATACGGCCAAAAGCACCAGCTATGATTGGGCGAAGGAGAGTGTCATATGTTTTTTATGGTACAGTGGATCGGTGGAAGAGGAAATGGAGAACACATCAGCGCTGGGAAGCGAATGGGGAAAGAGATCGGGAATTAAAAGCATCCGACGCGGCCGCACCGGTAGCCGCTCCTTCGCGAGGTGTGCTCACCGGCCACTCGTCCTCCCCGCTCATATGTTTTTCCCCGTCCCCGCCGCTCTCTCTCAGCTCGACTTTTTATGACAGCGGAAGTGCAGCCTATGGAAGGGATAGCCGAAGTTGGAATGAAATCCGAGTGTGTATCATGCTGATCGATAATAGAGGAAAGAGGAAAGAGAACCCACACATCCAATGACATACAATAGAGGAAAGAGAACCTTGGATAATAAGAAGATGATGATCGATCACCGATGAAAATAATATTTTAGAGCTTCTAATCTAAATTAAATTGGCCTAATCCTATTGAGTATATTTTTTTTAGAAAAAAAACCTTCATGACGCTGAATTTTACTTTCACATTATCAAATGTGATTTTATTTCATAAACGATAAAAATATAAACACGATTATATTTGTCTCGCGAGCTATCCATACTAAACATGTACAAGCGAGATATAAGGAAAAATGTAACAAGTCAATGAGATGAATTCAATGAATGCGGTACGAATTGCTCTTGTCGAGACGAGACAAAATAATGGAACATGGATCGACACTCCAACAGCAGACCAAAAGAGTGTTCCATATGCATGCAGAAAACAGAGATAAATTGTTGCCATGAGACGATGCAAGCCACACGCGCTTCTTATTCGACACCGCCAATGCCATGAAACATTCAAGGAAGAGTCTTTGCTTGTTTTAGTTTGCTTGCTCGTCAGAAGAAGAAGATGTTGACCTTCATTTTTGTGAGTTGACCTTGTTTGAGATTAAACAAAAGAAAACGATAGAGGATATAAATTATTCTTGCTAACGTATTTATACTCTTCAACGTGGGAATGGAACTCGGTGAATATCAAATTGTCGGGCTTGAAATCCTTATCGAGATGGCGACGTAATCCAATGATAACTCTACGTTGTGAACGGATAGTCCTTTTATATCTAAACCTTCACACTATGTTTAAATACAAAATTAGCTCTAATATCAAATATCACGATTTGGGTTTAATAGACTAATTGATATATCAATTTTATTTAACTTAAATCATTAACTAAAATACTTAATCTAAAATTACTAGTGGTATACTTATCATGCCTTTGTAAGTCAATTTTAGTCTTTTCCATTTTTAATGTTAGGGTGTTACATTCGTAAAATATTGAGTATCAGGTAAATAATAGATAAAAATTATATTTTAAATACATATTGATATAATTATTATTTTATAAAAATATATTTCAAAAGCTCATTATGTAATAAATGTTTTTTTTATAATATTTTAATATTTATTTAAAATTATATATTTTGTATTTAAATTAATAAGTAAAGAAAATAAAAAATAATATATATAATATTATAAAAAATTGTATGGATTAAATATATAATAAATAATACATATAATTATATAAATAAAAAAATACAATTTCATCTTATAAAAGATATAGGTATTCTTATAATTTAAGATAATATTATAGGGTCTCTTGAGAAATAAAAAAAAATTATTGGGTCTCTTGAGAAATAAAAAAAATTATCTTTTTAAGTTTTCTATATCGATTGGTGGGTTACATAAATATTTTTTAATTCTTATAATTAAACACGTGGAGGACTATAAATTAATGTATGAAAAAAAATTGTTTTCAAAAAATAATTAGAAAAAGGATTCAATTGCATCTAAATTTTTGGAAAGAGAATGATGCAATATAATATTTTGATGCTATTAGAGTTTCTTTTTTATGGATCTAAAGAGAGTGAAAGAAATAATGAGAAATATTATGATGTATAAGGAACTTTATACTTGGGTTTGAGCTAATTTGTAATTAATCATGATAAATAACTTGACTATGCAAGGAGGATTGAACCATATAAATTTTATCTTCGTTATTTTTTTATTATCGATTTTTTCCATTACCTTCTCTCTCTCTCTCTCTATCTTTTTCCTCAAAACAATAACCCTATGAAATGTCAAATGAAATTTTGGTTTATAGATTCACCATATTATTTTTTTTACTTTATATATATAATTAAATGTCAGATATAGAATATTCTACGAGAAAAATGAATCTATAGATTGAAGTTGAACTACTAGTCATAAAATTTTGAGATTCATCATTTCATTTTAACTTTACTAAGATAATATTGTTTTAAGATAATTATAGATTATTATATATACTTGGACCCTATTAGTATTTTAATCTTTATACTTAAAATATTTATAGTATAATTTTTATATATTTAAAAATAAAATAAATAATATCATTTATCCAAACATCGTGAGACTAAAAATATATCAATGACACCGCATGCTGAATCGATATGAATATGATTAACAAAAAAGATAATTTTAATGTCCATTTCATTAACAATAACTTTATAGGTAAAAAGATAATTTCAACATATCACATCATGAAAGAAAAGAAATATTAAAAGTATATTTTTTCCATCACTTTCGTATTTATTTTATGTCATGTATTTTATTTTTCATCAATGTAACTAATAATATTAGGACAAATGAGATTATTTATTGTACTTTTAGAATTATAAGGATTTGTGTAAATTTTTTTAATACAAATACCGTAATCCCCTCCCCCCTCCCCTTTACCTTTTGATGTTCTAGAAGCTAATTTATTTCTTTTAATTAATTGCTTCTCCATGGAGAATTCTACATTGTACTTAACATAAATCTAAGATGACAACATCAAAGAGAAAAAAGGGAAGAAGGTAGTCTACCATCCATTTCCATTGTCATAAAGATATGATGAGTCTTTTTTCCTATGGTGGTTCACCTAATAAGAATCATAGCAATTATACCACTATCATTGTCTTTCACCAAGAAATAGCGACTATTTGGATTGTTACAATTGTTATCTTATGTTACACATATTTTACACACTGTCAGGTTTGCATTTTTCAATCAAGATTCTCATAAATCAAATATAAACACCAAATTTCATCACAATTAACCTCATAATGAATGCATTGCTTAGTTTTTTTTATAAATAGGATGGGATAATCACAATAAAAATAATAGTTATAAAATTTTGACGTCATAATTTTTTTAATCAAATAAATAGGAAAAATATTTGAATAATTATATTTATATTATTATTAATAAATATCTCCGCTCCGGACGAGCGTACGCGAGCCATAATCGACACCTGTGAGTGGAACCCTAAATAAAATAAGAAGAGCAAAATTGGCAAGTCCTTCTTCGACTGAAGCGAAACGGCGCCGCGTTCTTTACTCTCCCCTTACGCGACGTGCCTTGGCCTACCTGCTTCAGCGATTCTTCTTCTCGCCGCCTCAACCAACCCGTCAGATCAGATAGCGTAACTGCCGAACGCCGTCCTTCCCCATCTCTCCGCTTTCCCTTTGCTCCACTCTCCTTCTTCGCCTTCCGGCCCTCGCGACCATGATTTCCACCGCTAGTGGACCCAAAACCGTCGTCACCGGCTACCCTGCTGCCACCGCCGGCTCATCCTACCCCTACCCGGCTCCGCCGCCAGCCTCCTACTACCCTAATGGCCATCCGCCCCCACCCCCGCCCCAGCCGCTGTACTACCCCGCGGCTTACCCCGCCGCCGCCCCTCCTCCCCGCTACAACACCGCTTTCCTCCGCCGCCTCCTCTCCATCGCTGTTGCCCTCTTCCTCCTCTTCGGCCTCGTCACGCTCATCGTCTGGCTCGTCCTCCGCCCCCGCCTACCGGAGTTCACCGTCTCCTCTGCTACCGTCTCTGGTTTCAACCTTTCCACCTCGCAGCAGCTGCTGTCCGCCGACTTCGATCTCGATCTTACCGTCCATAATCCCAACAGCAAGATGGGGATCTACTACGACCACGTCGCCGCTGCCGTCCTCTATGGTTCCGACCCCCTGTCCGAGACCTCGCTCGCGCCTTTCTATCAGGCGAAAGGGGCGACCACCGCTCTCCGCGCTCGGCTTGTGGCAGTCGCGATGTACGTCGATTCCAACGTGGTGAAGGGGATCAACTCGGACCGTGGCCGAGGCGATGGGGCCGTGCGCTTCCAGGCTAGGGTTTCGGCGTGGGTGAGGTTTAAGCCCGGGGCATGGAAGACGAGATGGCACACGATGAGGGTCTACTGCGATGATGTTCCGATTGGTTTGAGAAATGGGACAACTGCAGCGACCACGGGTTACCTGGTCGGCTCGACACCAAAGAAATGCGTGGTTAATCTCTGAGTAAGTTTGTGAATGGTTAGCTTCTTCTGATCATCTTTACTTTTCTGGGATAACGTCCGGTATTGCAAGAGCAACCTGCTGTGGTCTTGTAACAGATTGCCTGAGATTTATCTATTATAAATTTAAGGTATAACTACGAGAAATTCTACTGTAAATTATTAGTTGATGTTATGTAGTATAAGTTCTGTTGCTTACATGTGTGTATTCTCCGTTCTATCTTCTAATTATTGTATATGTTCTTAGCACGCCCTAAATTTTGGATCATAGCATCCATAATGTGCAGCAGTTCCTAATGTCAATCGTCAATAAGTAGTTTTTTTTAATAGGTGACACAAGTTCGATTATATGATTCTTTCCTGAATTGTGTTAATCATGTTTTTTTTAATAGGTGACACAAGTTCGATTATATGATTCTTTCCTGAATTGTGTTAATCATATTCACTTTTTCACCTTGAAGGTGGAGTTGTTTAGTGTGGCTCATTTATGGACTGCCAGGCTACAGTTTCTTTTCTCTTAAATGAAAAAATGTAATTTAATGGGTATCATATAGGAAAGGCAGCTAGTTTACGAAGGCCTAAGTGAGGGAAGCATATGCCAACCGAAATGAATGAGTTCTACCTTAGTGATACCTTTAAGAAGTTATATTGCTGACCTTAACACAAGGCAACCATGTCTTTCAAAACTGAACAAACTGCATCAAGGGGTTAAGAAACCAAGAACTCATTGATAAGTTGGAGTGAGAACATTAAAGAGGGGAAGCTATCAAGAATCGTTGCAGATCGATCCTAAGTTTCTTATAAAATTTCAGATCACTTTTCTTTGGTTTTTCCAAGGATCGAAGATGGGGAAATAGTAGTAGGTGTGAAATTATTGAAGACGGGAAGATTTTAACACAAATGGCACATGGAGGCTTTAATTCTCACAAAGAAATTCCAGATCAGTTCTCTTTGTTTTGTCTTTCGTATGTGTGTTTATATCAGAAGAAAATTTCCTAGAGAAGTACTGACCTTTCTAGGATGTAAGAATTCTTTGTTACAGACTTATAGTATTTAGCAATTTGAGTCCAATTAGGACTTGCGATTAGCCAACAAGGGAAGATATATGTATTTTTTCAAGAGAGAAAGACAAAAAATAAAATAAAATAAAATAAAGGAATTCATGTGAGAGAAAAATGGACATTGATTGGAAGAAAAGAAACAATAGGTGCCCACTTGTTTGGATGGAACAAAGATCAACTTAAAGAAAAAAATGTAGAGATTTTCCAAACCCTAATTAATCCTCACCATTATCTTAATTTCTTACTTGATGCTCCAATAAGACCTAAAAGATGAAAGAAATTAAATAATAAACCGAAAAAAGGTCAAATTAAGATCGTATGATGTTTCACATGCCTATGTCAACCAAAATGAATGTGCACTACTTCAGTTTGCCCAGGGTGGGGAAAATCTCTTCCCTATTAAAATGACCCCAATGTGGCCTTGGAAAAGTCACCCTTTGATCCAGGAACTGTCGAAAAGTAGCACACTTGCATGAACAAGAGCTTTTGGTTATGAGTATAAGTTACGAGTATGAAAATAATATGGCTCATAGTTTCAGTTTTAATTGTCAAAACTTGGTTTAGAATCATTCTTTAGAGGATATTGTGGATCTTTGTATTTCTAAGTTGCAAGCATTTTGTTTAGTTTCTTTAACAAATCCTTTCCCTTTTAACCCCCCTTTTTTTTCTTGTTAGTTGTCGCGCTTCAATTTTTACATACAATTTTTTTTTTCTGTTGATACTGAATGCAATCAGTTCAAAGCTGATATCAATGACTTTTGGCCTTATATTAATCTATAGGTACTGAGGTTTGATTATATTCTATATTATTATGAATATGCCTTGGATGTTTCTTTCAGTTCACTTTTGTTTACCAGCTGCTGCATGTTACAGTCTTCGTTTGGGTTCTCTAGGTCTGTTGACTTCCTCAGGATCTTGTATAATAAAAAATTAATGTTGACCAAATCTTTAGCTTTGACCATGTTTGTGACAGTTGCTGTGATGCCAACCTACTTGTGGCAGGATCTTGTGAGAGCGCGTGAGTCTTGATGATATTGACTGGCCCAATAAGTGCTGAGGACTTTATCCCCTTTTTCAACCCTTGATCTTGTTATCATGCTTCTTGTTAGCTTTGAAGAAACTTTTTGAAAAGGACCTGTTTGTGTTAATTGGATATGTCTGAAGACGATGGGTGGATATATTTGACAAGTAATTTGACTTCTTGAGTGGGTTTTGAGACCGGACAGCTGAAATTAGTTTCCACTTGGTTGCAACAGAGGCAGGAAATTGGTTAAACTAAGTTTTTTTTATGTATTTGAAATGGATATACTGATAGGGAGAAGCAAGGATAAGTATTTTTCTGTAGATTCGTTCTAATAAGTGCGAGCATCAGGTGAAGCACCTTGCTTTCAAATGATAGCAACTGCATCTGGTTTTCTCATGAATGCATTTGGAAACCATGTGCTGTTGTCAAAAGTCTTTTAGTGCCAGAAACATACAAATACATATATTTTTCATTTTACTTGAGTAGGGTGCATGAACTTTTCTTGACGTTTTACATCTGAAGATTTCTAGGGTCTAGAAATCTTTTTGCAGCTTCTCTGTTGAACATTTTTCGGGGAATTGGTTGTTAGATTAATTATGGTTTTTGAACATTGAGATTTTGGAAGAACAGCCAGGCAAATTGTATGATGGGCTGAGTAGTTTCCTAATCCATTAATATTTCTATAGGCTGGTACCTCCCAGTTTGATGTGTGGTGTGTCCGCAGGGGATGGGGTTTTATTGCCTAATAAGCCACACTAACATCTTGAAGCCGTGGCATTTTGGGTTTTGCTGTCAAGGCTATTCCTACTATGGAATTGTTCCGAGGTTTTATAGTGAATTCTTTTATCTTCTTTTTTTTTTCCTTCAGTATTAGGTTCTCCCTGCAATATTACTTTGTTTACTGGCCCTAACGATTTATGAACGACTGAATCCTTGGCTGACTTATTAGAGGTTATGGCTTTTGATATCTTTCTATTCTTTCGATATTAGCTTCTCTATCTACGTAGGGTTTACCTGCAGATGAGACGATGCTTGAGAATAAGGATTCCAAGGTCGAGATGCTGAGATGCTTCCTAACTATTATTTGTTTCCGTGGATGAGGCTGAGAGTGTGCCGTTGTTGGACAACTATTGTATCATCCTGTTGCTAGTCTGTGTGCTTTGGTCTCTGCTGCTGACTCTGCATGTGCTATCATTGGGACATGTCGTGTGTTGTGATGTTTGGTGTCATGTACCACCAACTTGACACCAAGCACCAGAGATGAGACCTTTGGCCTGAGCCTAGAGGTTTGGCCATGGGGATCATCATCATCTCATGTGCTATTGTATTCTAGTGCATCATGATTGATAAGATAAAGGGGAGGCTTCTCGGTGACCGACCTCTAGCTCGGAAACATCAGCTAATTTGTCTAATATCTGTACCCTTTGGTTTGTGATTCCTATCTTGTCACTCTTTTGATGCTCGTAGGCAAACTTCTGAAATGTGCATTGTCTCGGCTTTCGTCTTCGTGCAGAAATTTAGAGAATGTTCACATCAATTTTTTTGTCGCCTTTGCTGTGCAACAGAAGCTGAAGGACGGTGCAACAGAAGCTGGGTGTGAGATGGTTGGTGCAGTAACATACGAGGATACCACAGGTACCGCAATAATCTACTCTTGAAATTTATCTTTTAGCTGCACAATAAGACATGGGAAAAACTATTTCGTGTTGCATTTGTTTTTTTTTTTCCTTTATTCCTTTTTTTTCTTCCCTGATAGTTGTGTCAGTCTTCCTACTCGAAAGCAAGGTCAAGGTATACACGAGATTAGTTGACGTGAGTGATGTGAAGTCTCTTGGAGTTGGAAGCATGCGGCTCACCTAACATGTGGTGGTGTCTCATGATGACCGATTTGCCTTGCCTGCCCACAGATTTCTTTAGCAAACTACCAAAGGATTTCACTAACGTGTTAGGGACGCGATGCGGATGGGATCGTGTTTGTCGTAGCGTCAATGCTATTTTCCCGGGGCTCTGTTCCTGCTTCCTCTTTTTCTTTCAGATATGGCCTACTGTATTCAAATCATATAGACATATGGTCAATTGTGTTTTCCCTAGAGATTACGTCTGCGTTACGTTCAATATCTTGATGCCATGTCATGATGGGAGGTAACATTGGTTTTCGTATGGAGTCCGATCGTTCCTAATCCCTGGCCTGGGTGGCTTGGCATGTTTCATGGATGCCTGTTATAATTTGTATAAGAGTTCAATTGAAGCCAATATTTAATAAACTAACTAGTCTATTTGATCAATCTGCAGGATTATCCAGCATTAGTTTTCTCTATTAGAGTAGTCCCAAATTATTATTATAGTTTGGGATTTGGATTCCATTGCGGTGGAAATTAGGTTGGTCATCCCTGATTGGGGGTGGCCACCTCTTGTAGGTGAAACAAGTAAGCTTCAGAGTTCTGTAGGTAGGTGGTTGGCCCCCACATTGTCTACATTGGATCCTGTAGATGATGGGAGATGGATAGAGCTGCTTGCGAAGTTAAGGTGACGCAACCTCGATTCATTCTCTTACATAAAGAAGAAAAAAAGAAAGATATATAGAGACTCGATTCCAACAAGGGAAGCAAGCCTGAAAGAATGTTATTTGTACTATATAAATCATTGACACCGAGACAGGAAGTAGCATACCCAGCGGTTACTACTATACCAACCGCTATTGTTTTTGATAGCTTTAGAGCATGACCATGAACCATTACTCCAATTATGGAGCCAATGCTGGCATCATCATGTCCAACATTTCAACCACCATTTTTTTTTACAAAAGATCAGCCTTTTACCAGTAAGTTCTTTATGAGATGGATATTACAATCCTTAGTGGTGGTCACACTAGTCATTATTACTTGTGAAAATCCTTGTGCATTATCATGAACCTTTAATTATTGAGCCAAAGTTAGCACTATCTCTGAATCAGATCCATTATGACTCCACCTTAACTTGAAAAGGTTTGAGAGGCTTCGCTAGGTAGAGATATAGCTCGTCTACTCGGATAGCAAGTTCTTCTTTGTGATGTATCATAGTCCTCATGGATGATCATATCAATGATGAACAACTGTTGCTCATTGACGTCGAGATCAATAACTTATCGCTCCTAAAATTGCTGGTGCAGGGTTCAACTTGTTGGCTTTTTTCAACATACGAATTACTACTATTATAATTCTTCACCAAGTGTAGGGCTCTTGAAGATTAGAATGTAACATTCCATTTAGAAGAAACATCGTATCAATAGTTTTATAGAGTTGTTTTGGTTATTACGATGACCAACTTATACATGAGAACGCAATGGTTGGCATTTATAAGCATCGCATCACTACCATCATTCGGTTGCCATCTTAATCAAAGATCATCATCCGAGTCGAACATTCACGCCGGCTCACTTTCCTGGTTGAATTCTTGGTCTTTGTTTGACCACAAATCTATGCGATTTCGACACGTCTTCAAGATTTATTGGGAATCATGTCACATGACTCCCTTTCCCTTTGGCAATCGAAACAATAAACTACAGCCTCTACTTGGTTATTCTCCATATCTACATCGCATGTCTCCTTTCAATGATTACCACCCTATTTCGTACAAGAAATCTTTACAAGAACTCAGGGAGAGAGCATGTAGGAAAGTGAGTTCAATTCGATGGTTTTTTCCAAAGCTATCTTTATACATGGATTATTAATTATTCTTATTATTATTATTATTATTGTTTTCCCTATTATGTAACTTTTGATGTTACGCTATATTCAATTGTCTCTTAGGAGGCCCCATCACCCTACGAGTCTTTAGACCGTGGAGCGTTTCGTTCTAAGATGGCTTGAAAGGCAAAAAGGAGTGCTGAATGATGCGTGCTTAGGCTGCAAGAAGCCAAAGGTTGGTGGAACGTCGCAATAGTGGAGGATAGAAAGTGACATTACTTTACTCCTTGCTCACTCCACCCACCATCTAATGCCATTCTCTCAGCTCCATACAATGAATCATCCATCACATATACGTATGAGCATAGAAGACGATGGATGGCAAACGTTAATCTCTCCATCGATTCCCCTCTTCTCTTCTTTCCCCTTTCCTAGGCATTTTGACTTGACTCGAGAAATATTTATTTGTGACCTCAAACTGCGTTGTAAAAGCTTAATGGCCTCTTTTTTTGGTGCGTGGGGATTCTAAAACGGAAGCATGTGACTTTGTCGTCTCCCCAAGTTGTACGCTTCCACACTTGCACACTCCCCCCCCCCCCCACCTGCTAATCCTACTCGATTATTTGACTTCGTTTCAGGAACACATGACAAAACCTCCTTGTGCTGAATTAAATCTTCCAAATTAAGGTTTAAGGTGAATGACAATCATTTTAGCATAGGAGAATGAGAAGAAGAGTCAGCATGAGTCGTCCTAGTTCTTAACTCAGGCGTCCCTGTTTGGTGCAGATTTAAGATGCAAGTAAATACTGGCAGAGAATCCAAACCCAACTTGCACTTCCTGCTACGTCTTCAATGTGTGGTACGTGATGTCGTTGTTGTCAGACCCACATAATTCATTATCTCTTTGTTATTATACAGCTTGGAATTAATAGCTGCCTGTTTATCCAATTTAATTTGCTTGTTTTATCGTTATCCTCATTTATAATTTCTCCTTGTTACTTTGGCCACAGGATAAGGCGTGTGAAATCTCATTTGTTTTCACACCCTTCCTCACGTAATCCCTCCCCATCGGTCTATCTCTCCAATTAACTTACTTTATTGTTTCCTTTAACTGTCAATCAGGTGCCCCCTCTCTCTCTCTCTCTCTCATGGAATCGCTTTCTCGATGTCAAGAGGTTTGGAATTAGACCACCTACCATGAATCTTCTTCTTTGGGATCGGCATTAATAGTACTGTTTAGTGTAGAGATCCAACCTCAATGCCTCTTTGTAGACCATTTAATTTGGTACGGCCCCTTCATTGGGAAGACCGAGTGGTAATTTTTGCTATGTATTGCATGACTTATTCTATGTAAGATCGTACCCCTCATCATCAATCGAAGGTTCACCGCACCACTACCTTCTTTTCTTCCTTATATATTGACTCGCTTCCCTGCTGCCACGCCTTCTCTCTTCTCCTGCATCTCTCTCTCTCTCTCTCTCCCCATCAGCTGGTGTGAGTCTTGGATAGGAGGAAGAAGAAGATGACGGCCAAGGACTGCGGTCAGCACGGGGAGTGTTGCGAGAGGCGGAAGCGCAACCAGCGCATCTTCGGATGCATCCTCGCTACCATAATTGTGATCCTCCTCATCATCCTCATCGTCTGGCTGGCGCTCCGCCCCACCAAGCCCCGGTTCTACCTGCAGGACGCGGTGGTGCTGCAGTTCAACTACACCGGGCCGCCCAGCAACCTGCTCTCCACCGTCATCCAGGTGACCCTCTCCTCCCGCAACCCCAACGACCGCGTCGGCATCTACTACGACCGCCTCGACGTCTACGCCGCCTACAAGTACCAGCAGATCAGCGTCGCCTCCGCCCTTCCCCCGATGTACCAGGGCCACAACGACATCGACGTCTGGTCCCCCTACCTCTACGGCCCCGACGTCCCGGTGGCGCCGTACCTCTGCGACCCCCTCACCCAGGACGAGTCCTCCGGCTTCCTCCTCCTCCACGTCAAGATCGATGGCCGCATCCGGTGGAAGGTCGGATCCTGGATCTCCGGCCATTACCACCTCTTCGTCAGCTGCCCGGCCCTCCTCACCTTCCAGAACGGAAGATCGGGATCCGGCGGCACCGTCAAGTTCCAGCAGATGTCATCCTGCAGCGTCGAGGTTTAACAAGGAGCGGCCCAGGCAGCGTTGTCGAGCTCCTCCACTTTCCATCTTTAGCTTCTCTTTTTGGCTTAGCGATGACGTACTCTGTTTCATGTGATCCAGTAGGCGGCCAGGCTGTGTGATATATATATTTGTAGGGTTGAAGGAGGAGGGCAGAAATAAAAGAAAGACCAATATAAAATGATGTGTTTGCAAGGCAATTGTTTATATTAATAATCTTAATTAATATTATTATCATTATTATGTGATCAATGTGTAACGTATTTTCTTGTAACAGTGATTATTATTATTATTCACGATGCATTTTCTTTCATTATCAAAGAGAAGCGCTCTTAAACGAAGCCCGTTCGCGTTCACTGCCAGCCTCTTTGACTTACCCCAATCCGACAATTAATAATGTTGATGGCATGCTTAACTAACTGTCAGAAGAGTAATTTCTAGAGTCGGTGTAGCACGTGACTCGTTGACGTCTCCTTGGCTCTGTACAAACTTAATTGATGCGTGGAAAACGTGGATTGCAAGGAAAGATACATCAAATCGAACAACGCTTCTTTCCATTGAGCACACTGAGCCGTGCGCGAGAATCCCTCTTTCCAATTTCGATTTTAGTTTATCGAATTTGAAATTAAAACTGAATCCGTTTTGGACGATTTAGGTTTCGATCTAAGAATCAGTTGTTTTGATTTCGGTTTAAAATTAGAACCTGTTCCGAATCAATTTGATTTTAATTGTGGTTTGGTTTAAATCGATGGTCGGATCTATGTGTGAGTAAACTTGCCAAATTTCTAACACAATCGACTTCATTGCCTGCCATGTTTAGCAGGCAATGCTTTAGTGTTTCATTTATGCCGATTCGTACCATTTAGATGTCAAACAAACAAGCGGTCAGAGATGCCGCAGGGAATAGAGTTAATTTAAGTGCCAGAAGAAGTGGATGGAAAATTGGACCTTGCCATCTTGCCAAGTTGCATGGGAATCATGAGATGTGGGCATCACATTCACAGGGAAAAGGAAAAGTTTGATGCATATACCCACATAAAAAGAGAGGGAGGGAAAGGAGAGGATGTGCATCATCAGGCTCTTAGGGATCTCCAGGGAAAGAAAGCCAAGGATTAAAATAATAATAATAATAATAATAAAGGATAAAAAAGAAAAAAAAAAAAAGGAATTGAGAAAAAATAATATATATATATATATATATATATATATATATATATATATATATATATATATTGTCATGGTCAAGAGATTGAGAGATTATGGTCTATCACTTTTTATTTATTTATTTTATAAATGATAAATGGTAAATGGTAATTTTCTATCCCAATTTCCAAGTACAAGCGAGTTTGACTTCCTTTAGTCCTATGGGCTTGGCATGTTGGATCACTAGGCCGAGCTATCTTTTGGGGCCTTCGACACCCACATCATATAAGAGGCCTAACTTTTGTTGACAATAACTTTTAGAATAAACAAAATAAGAAATGTACATGAAACAGTCCAGTAACGGTAGATAGATAGATAGCTTCACAATAGCTTTTAGAACCCATAGTTTCGATTCCGATTTCATCGAATTTACAACTTTATTTTCGATCTCTAATCAAAATCGTCTATTTTAATTTTTTTGAAATATCCTTTCAGTTAATCACTTATTAAGTTTTTAGAAGTGATGTTATTTATTTATTTTATCTGGTCAGAAATAAATCGAAACCGTCGATTCCGATTCTTGTTTTAGATTTTACGATCCAACTGTCATAACTCAATTCTAATTTGATTTTAGTTGGAATCTTTGTGGGATCTACCGACGGATCTGTATCAAGATTCCAAGTACACTATCTACTGTGACATTATACGGAAATAATTAACGAGGCAAAGGAAAGAAGCATCTTTTGGCCCTCCGACACTACGCTTTATTCTGCTATCGATTGTCGTCTTGGATCCGTCGCAAACAAAAGAGTATAGGATGGAGCTAAATTATTCTTCCCACCTGCCATCACGCGCCCGGCTGTTCCTCCTCTACAGAGATGACAGCAGCTGGTGTCCCTGTAAACAGAGCCTACGAGTTTGGGGCGAGTCGAGTAGCTTCCCTACCCTGCATGCAGGGCAAACAAGTGTGCGTCTCGGGATCGCTTCCTCTAGGAAGGCGCCTACATTTGCCCGCTTTTGTTGCCGAGGCGACGGCCTCCCATCAATACGCACATCGAGAAAAGAGCTTTGTTTCTTGAGATGCTCTCGGAGTCTATGCTGCAACCTTCCTTTTTGACCGGTCAACCTCCTGCTCTTGTGGAACATGGATTTGGATCAGAAAGAAGGTAAAGGAAAAGTTAGCGAGCACATGGATCGGTGCCGCTGCGCTTTTCCTCGCAACTGAAAGCATCACACTCGTCTCCTTTGTTCCTCCGGTCATCACTTTCGAATGATGACAGGAGCAAACCAAAGGATATCTGCATTGGATCGACTAGCAATGATTGCAGGTTGCAGCGCTGCCGGATCCGAGAATTCCCTTCCACGCAGGCATTGGTCACGTTAAAGGTTAGCGAGGGAGGAGAAAAAGGAAAAGGCTCGGCTGAGAACCAATTCTAAGCAAAAAGAAGCGACCGCAGGCTTCGTTTTCTCTAAAGACTGCCAAAGTTGCTTAGGATAAGGCCACTTTGTCTCCATGCTTATTCATCTTTTGCAGATGCCAATACGCTGTGTTTGAAATGAGGAGATGCGTGTTGTTAACTGATGGACTCGAAGAAGCTACGTGAGAAATAATCGATAGACTTGAAAGGAGAAGCGCGATGGGGCTAACAAACGCATCGATTGAAGGTGGAAATCATTGGCTTAAGTAAAGTTGGGAACGAGTTGGTCTCACATGAACACCTGATCATAAGTTATGGAGCACCGCATGGCTTTATTTGGGGGCAAGGCTCGAGGCCATGTCGTTCTTGTCACCGTCCATGAAGGCCGCAAAGAAGAAAGCTTTGTTGCTCCATAGCCAATGCAAATAGCTTAATAGATCCTGGCGAAGCCGATGATAGAGTCTGTGCTTTCTGCAGCGTAGCCCAAAATGGAAAGAAAGGTGAGGAATGACAACAACGTGGTCTCATCCAAAAATTTTACGTGATCCGAGATGCATGCCTCTCCTCCCTTTTACGTCGATCGGGCCCACTGTGCGCACTCAATGTCGCACTCCCAAATACCACGACCTACGTTTATGTGCCGGAGGCATCTTCTTAGCGACGATGCGCAAATGCTGACAGCTTCATAGAGAATCAAAAAATAGTTTCTATTATTATTGTATTGTTGACTTGTTTCCACTGTTTGTTTGTCTTTGTTATTGGTAGGATGGAATGTGTGTTATGACATCAAAGTCATTGATGCTTTTGATTAGTAGATGGATTAGGTGCTATTTTTTTCTATTATCTATCGTGTAACAAAAATGTAAGATAGGCAAAATCTTACTTCTAAAAAGATAGTTTTTTTTACCGGCAGCAATATATTTGAATCAAATAAGATTTTGAAATCTTTCCCACGTTTACTCTCTTGAGGTGTTTTTTTTTTAATGCTTCCCATTTGTAAACTATTTATATAGATTAGAGATCTAATTTAGGATTTAGCAGAAGATGGATAGTGAATACCGATTAGATAAGGGATAATTTGGTTGGAGCGGCTCTCCCTTTCAGAACATGTGAGTTCCAAAAGGCGTCTCTAAGGGTAAGAGAGACCTGACGGACTTATGAGCTCCTCGGGAACGAGTTTGTTTGGACGAGTTTGTTCGAGTTTGTTTGGTCGAGGTACAGGCATCGGGCCCTCTTTCTAGCGTCAATATGATAAAGGACAATTTGGTCGGTCGATCATTGGTACGGCCCATAAGCTTACGAGGAATTATCCGCTTTGGACGATGAACGTACCCACGGTTTCAAAAGTGATAGAGAGCAAAGAGGAGTGAACCAAAATCGGAGAGTGCGGTTGGGATTAAAATAACAAAAAATCCAAAAAAAAAAAAAGACAGGATAATAATGTGAGAAGTGAATCCACATATGACATATCCACTAATCTCAAAGCACTAATCTTTTCCCAAAGCCAATCACACCCACAAAATCTCGACTTCCAATTTGATTCAAGAGGGATCCCCATCCCCATCCGGTGCACTACGAAGAACGCAGTCCATCGAGCCTCACCAACAGTAGTTCACTGCTCTGATGGGGCCACCGAGTTACGGAATATGATTGGCCATGCTCATCGAAACGTATTCCAAGCGATGCACTGAATCAGCTACACTTGGAGCGCGTATAAGATAGAGAAGATGATCGCTTTAGGATTCTTAAAGCAGCAACTTAAAGGTCTAAAAGACCTTTCACTGCTTCCGGAGATGAGAATGTTGGGTTGTGAAATCTAATGCAGAGAAAAAAGAGATTCTTTTACGAATCACGTAACAAAGCATTAAAAGTAGCGCGCTTTTGCCTTCTAAAGTGCTTCTTTTTTTTCTGGCTTTGCATTACCCTCAAGTTATGAATCGTAGCACATTTTGTTCCTACTCAAATCGAAGCCGCAGTACATCTAAACCTCAACTTTCTAGTTTTTGTAGTGACATCCGAATTGATTAGTGCAATGTTATATAAATACCTCAATCTTCAAAAGAGAGAGATTATACTTCAAAAGATTCAGCACTGATGAAACAAACAAATTATAGTACATCAGGCAAGTTAAAGAAGAATGCTCGATCCACACACTCAAGAAGTCCTGCACTGTCAAAGCAGTGGTCATCGAGATCTTCGTCTGCAGCACAAAGATTCAAGTCTAATGAAACACATGTATCCACTTCCTTGTCGTCTTCGCTCTCAGCCCTCTGCTTGATCAGAGGAGAGCAAGCTCTTGACCTGGAATCGAAGCTTTCGCAACTCAAGATGATAATAGCATCACCAAGACTGACTTCCTCACCACCGTAACTCTGTAATTTCCCTCTCTCCATGGCTCTCATGATGCCTGCTAGAGTGTAATGATCCACTTGCTCGATGTCTTCCATCATGATCACCCGGTGTGGGTCCTCTCGTATCGCTTCGAAGAGGCTCTGGAGACGGCTGTGACTTGCTTCCGCTCTCGATCTTTTGATTTGGAGAAGAACATCCGTGGAGTCGGATTGTGTTGACGATAAGTTGCTGTGTCCGACTGTAATGAAGTTGGTGGAAGAACCAAACACAAGTCTGGCAAGCTCTCTACCTATCCTCTCCTTTCCTTCGGTATCACTACCTTGAAACAACAGCCACGTCTCCTCCTTTTTCTCCGAAGATTTCGACTTGCCTTTCCTTCTCATCAATCCTGATCTGCACTGGAGGATGATGCTTGCAATCTCAGGGATAATGTCCTGCTGCCAGGTGACCTTTCTCTCCAACGCATCGCAGAGGAACTTGAAGTTCTCGGCATTAAGCTCCTTGAACTTTGAAGATAACTCCGTCTCCATGGTGCTACCGGAAGAATTCGAGTTAGGGTGTGAGTTAAGGTACAGAAATGGAAAGGTTGACAGCTTTTGCCCTGCATTCTCTCGAGCTTTGTTGCCTGGTTTTTGCTCAGGGCCTTCATCGACAGCTTCTTCCGATATCCAGAAATGGTGTTCGTTCCAAGGACGTTTTGCCTTTCGAGGTAGTAACGAAGGTTGCTGGTTCTGGTGCAAGCTTCGAGAGTGACCATCGTACGAAGAGACATTGGAAGAAGAAGAGGGAGAAACTGAAGAGAAATTGAATGTTATTTCAGACGGATGGTTGTCGGATTTGTGCGTCGAGGTGCAAATGGAATTCCACTGCCTGCAAAGTTCTTTTAATTGGCGACAGCCCTGAAAGAGGACAGAGAAAAGCTATTCCATGATTGTGTAGGTAAAAAGGTTTTAGCTGTAGAGAGTGTTGATTAGATATTCAAATACCTGATCACCGCTGTTCCGATCTCTATTGCCCTCTTCTTTACACCTTCTGAGCCACGAAGGTAGACCAGAGGACATTGAGCAGAGGCTACCACAAGAATTGATGTGCAAACTTGGAACCTCAGGACTCCCTATTTCATCTGCTGCTGGCGGCAGAAATTGCACCCCACCGATCTTGCTTCGGATTTCGCTTAAACCACTGAGGACGATAACCATCGTTTAGCAAATGATGACATTCTGATATACATAGCGCGATAATGGAATACATGCTTTTAGTACCTGTCGAAGTTGAGGCTTAATCCTAAACCTCCGGCGGGAATGGTGAGAGGCTGAAGAGCCAAGAGAGTCTCCAGTGAAGGGCTCCCAGTCCGGCAAAACCTCGTGTAGGTCTGATACGTTGCAATGGCCATGAGCCAAATCCTCTCATTACTATGCTCTCCCTCAGTTCCACCGAAGGCTAAGTTCTTAATCTCCATCAGGATATGCTCCAAAGAACAATAATAACTTCTTCCCTTCTCCCCTCGGCTAGCCCTGTACTCGGCGGCCCAGTCCAGATCCTTGAGGTACAAGACGACCCCTGTTTCCACGCAGCAACTCTTCACAAAGCACCTGAGCTCCCCAACCTTTTGGTCCACCTCCTCCGCTGGCATCTGCCTGAAAGAGAAGAGTGGGAGTGTTATGAACTGTAGGTTCCTTGAAACCTCAGGCACCTCTCCTTTGTGCACTCTGTCCCTCACTCCTCCAACAACAGCTTCTGCGGTGGCCAAGCATTCTCCCACTATCACGATACTCTTCTTTCTCCTGCTGACCAAAGCATCGGTAACGCTCATCACATCCTCGTTCTTCACTTGAACTAAAGTCCTTGTCTTGCCCGTGGGAGGAGGAGTACAGCTAGGAGGAGTGGATGAGCATATCTCCACGGAGACAGCCTGCTCGACGTTGCTCTTCACTTGAGTACTGGAGAAGCCAGCCTCTCTCATGACCCTGCTCACGCTGGGGTCATCGAGGATGGAGATGACGAGTTGCTCAAGCTCGATCTTGACCGCAAGAAGAGGCTGCTGCTGCTGGGTCTCGATGGATCCGCGGCGCTGGTGGGCCTGAGCTCTCTTGAAGGCCGCTACGAGGGCGTTGGAGAGGGACGGAGGGTGGAGGTGGTGGTGGTGGTCAGCCTGCGGTAGTCCAAGCATCGGAGCGGATAAGGTGGAGGCCGGCAGGCGGTTGAGGGCGACGTTGAAGCAAAGCTCCAGGGCCTTGCACTGGAGGGGGTGCGAGTGAGACTGGAGGCAGGCGGCTCGGAGGAGGCCGGTGGAAGACGAAAGCATGGTGTTGGCCACATGGAGCGGCGTCACCTGTGCATGTCCTCGCCGTCGAGCTAAGTTTATGGCTTGCTTCACCACAGTTGCTGCTTCGGGGGTCAATGCTTGCTGCACAGTGCAGCCACCTGCTCTCATCTTGCGGAGATCTTGTTGCTACGGAAGGGATTTATGGTAGCAGGTGATCAAACAAGGATCAAGGCAGTGGTTGTGGGGGGTTTATCTTGATGGAATTCATTGAACTCACCGGGGGTTGGTGGACAATATATGAGGAGGGCCTTTGGAAGGAAGAGAGGCGAGTGTAGTTGGCTTGTCAAACTTGTCAGTCTCTGATGTAAGGATGTGAGAGTGAAGGTGCGTTGGGGACGAATATGTATGGAAGTAGTTATCTACTTTTTATGGTTTCTTTCTTAGATAACCTGCTTTATGGGGTCGGGTGGAGAGTGATATTAATGGATTTCTAGCTGTGCTTTTCTTGTAATAGAGGACAATTTGGGGTCCAAAGTCGATTTTACACTCGAAAGTACAATGCATGTGTTGACAAGCATAATCGATTTTTTTTTCTTATAAATAATAATAATAAAAATAATAATAATAACGAGATTCAAACTCAAAATTTCGCTATAAATTATAAAAGTCTTTATCGAGTAAGTAATTTTTCATCTACAATATATATATATATATATATATATATATATATATATATATATATATATATATATATAGTATGTTTTGGACTATTGGTGTATTAGTAAAGTTTTCTCCTTTCGAAATATATAAGCTCCGAAAGACACATGTAAGGGTAAGAGAGACATGACAAACTTATGAACCCTTGGTTCACATACTCCTTAATCAATATAAAACTAAATGATCTTATCAATATCCTATTTGCCATTTACTTTACGTCAAAGAAGTTATCGAAATCTTTTTAGTCTGTACATCAGATGTAACATCACTACCAATAATTCACACAAAAGCCGTCCCCTTGCAAAATATTCCCACTAAATCACTCACCATATCTTAACCTTTAGGGTTCAGTAAGCAGAACCTTCAGTTCCATCAGTACTGACCCAAATCATGAAGTACAATGAAAAGAGAAGAGTAGTCGATCAGAACAGTTTGAACAGTTCATATATATATATATATATATATATATATATGTATATATATAGGGAGAGGAAATTTGTTTTTCTCTACAGGAAACTGGTGGAGTGGCGACAACAATGATTTGGATGAATGAAATGGATCATCTGAAGTGGGACCTGAGAGACCACTCATCTTTCCATGGATGGATCCTATTTGGTGCATGACATGGAGTTTCTTTTCTCTAAACATAGTGTCAGCTCTGATCTCAAGGAATCGGGAACTGTGTACGGCTCTTCGCTGGTGACTCCAAGAACAAGGAATAAAGTGACCTCCGGCCGTATCGGTAACACCACCCCCGTTAATTCCATAAAGCGAGCCGATACAGCAACTGCGTTCACTTCCAGCCGCACCAGTCATGTAGACATGCATGCATGTAGGGTTGGTTCTCTTTTACGGTGGCCAGAACATACTGTGAATGCTACTGATACTTAACTTGTGAGGAGCAGCATCGAATGTTTGGGCTTAGCGTGCCTTTGCATGGAAAGCAGCGCTCCGCCATGGCTTTGGTGATAGGTGGAGGAAAAAGGAGAAGGCTAAGATTTACTTCATGCACACACCTTTCAAAGATCTCCTCCCTCCATTCCTCAATCATATCCCTCTACGAGTTTTATCGATAGCACACCACAAAGAAAGCAGACTGCGATAATAAAGACAGTAAAAAGCAGGAAAAGGAGAAAAGAGGTTTGACCAATTAACGATCTGAAAGAGATAACAAATGGGATGCGATTGTGCATCTTCTTACACTGCTACCTTCTTTTTATGTCATGGATGATGGAACAACACACATCTTCATAGAGTTCATGTGAAACTTGGAATTATATACGTGTTATGCAGTTCACATGAAGAAGAAACCTTAGTGTTTCATCCGTCTCTATTTCACAGTAGTTTTCGAACACCACTAAGATTAAAAAGAAACAATCGTGAGGCATCTATACGAATTCGTGTTGTTTGGTTCAGTTCAAAATGCTAAAAGAGCAGTCATATCCACAGTCAAAAGCTTGCTCTAAAATGGTCCAAAAGACAATAGGAGGACAGCTCTAATAATTCGAAAGGAAGAAAGTATTCTGGAATGCAATAAAATTCCTGCACTGCCTCCTTTGCATCCCCAACTGTTCATGACCGTTCAAAAGCGATGACCCAAATGGGCTCTTCTTGTTGGAAGACTACTTTAAATCTGAATTGTATCATAGTTTTTTTTTTTAAAGCTATTTGGTAAAGTACAATTTTTGAAAAGATTTTTTTTTTCTGCCAAGAATAAATGGTGAAAGCGGAATTCAAACTTAAGACCTTACGATGAACTATCAAGATCTTTACTAGCTAAGTTAATCGGAATACGATATCTTCAGAGATATTCGAGCCCAAAGCTAATTACATTGCTCTAATACCAACAAGCTTATCAAGAGCAATCGAAATCCATTGCTTTAGCATATATGGAGGAGAGAAGACCATACATGGTTTGCTTGTACTTGTGGAAATAGAACATTCAAATGAAAAATGATGTTTATACAACAAGTCCATAAATAGATTGTTACTATACTTGGAAAACTATAAAAGAATAATCTTTTTGATAAAAGAAAAGGTTTAATACGGCATTTACTACTGCCAACTTGTCCGATATGTTTCCTCCATGCATTCATTACACCAACTTGTAGTAATAATTGAGCCGCAGAATCTTTCAGACTTGGCATCAATGATTGCTAGAGAACCAACGAAAAGTATGGAATAGGAGTTGTTTGATCGAAGAAGATAGACTATACTGAATGCCTCCAATCTAGAATAAGTGATATGTTGGTGAACAATGAATGAGCTGAGGAAATCTACAATCAATGCAAGAAATCCAGGAGATGGAGGCTGTCAAGGAGATCGAAGATAACTTGAGAAAAATTGACAAAGAGAGATCATTTCATGGTGGGGAGAAGGAAGAAATAATGTGGAAGCAATGGGATCAAGTCAAATGGATTAGTAACATCAAGTCCTTCCTTCAAAGACAAGGAAATAAGTGAGAAGCCTTACTAGAGTGATGGAATACTTCTAGGAACTTCTCGAATCTTCTAATACGTCTGGTGTGGATTAGATTTTATGTGAATCGATCATCCTATTTTTCATCAATATGTCTAAGTCTTTGTATTTCGTTTGGTTAGTGACTTGCTCATTTTGTTCATTATTCTTTGATATGTTTTCTAATCCGAAAGATATAGTTTTATAAATGAGATGCTATTTGAGTCTTTGTTTATATCCCAAAAAGTATACATGAAAGTAAAAGATCATGGCCCAATGTGACATTGATTAATTGGTTTATTCGATTTTTGTGAGATGTTTCGAGAAGTCGATTAGCATACGATATGTTGAGGCCTCGTTCTATTCTAATGCCAAAACAGTTCACGATGTTGATGACAAACATCCCCGAGGTAGAATCGATCTTCGATTAATACTAACTTTCATCGCGACAACATCTATTGCATCAAATGACGTATATGACGCTACTCGTACAACAAAGGATATGCCAATAAGTACATTAAGATGCAAACGACAGAAACGCGTAACTTTGGTACAGCCGCATTTACTTCGTTTGCTGCGAGTTAATTAGACAGCTCACTCGTCTTGTAAGAGCCTTTCCGGTGAGCCATCATCTACTACCTGTGATCCTGTCTCTCGCGTCCCTGCAACTTCCAAGAGTTGGAAGCGGCAATGTCCCCGGATCGCAGGACAACGAAGGTGGGTGGTTGCCTTGTGCCCGTTCTCCAAACCCATGCACCAGTGATAACCTAAGCTGGAGCATTGTGCAGGCTCTGTGCACCTCCCCAAGGACACAACATTTTTAATTCCCAGGTGGTACTTGCATTCATCTGATGCCACAACACCGCATGCGATAACTCTGTGCTTGCACCAGCGAGGCCCTAAGGACCCGTGTTCCATCTGACGCACCGATGCAGGCGCCATACGGGTGTTGTTTTGGATGCATGCACTCTTCGTTTGCTTGTGAGCAGGCAGACGCGGTAGGAATTGTTCTTGAAAAGCTGCACATCACTTTACTGCATTTCTGAGAATTAAGCTCCCCAAGTCATGTCATGTCATGCACAATCCAACTACTACCATATAGAATTAAGGAATAAGGTACCGTGAATTCGTCCTACTCGTTCAAAACCAAGTAGCTATCTAAATTGTCTTGAATCTAACTTGGTATCTAAGTTCCTATAATAAGTGTTACAATTAAACCTAAAATGGGTTAGGTTAGGTTGGGTACTAAGAATATTCGTCATGTCAACCTAAGGAATCAAACATTTCCTAATAGCCGGGATTATTGGCAATCTAATAGACAACATTTATCGTATTAAAGTATGTCGTAAGTTGAAATCCTTTTGAACTCGAAAGAAAAAGTTGAACCTAATCAATAAAATATATTCTGGTGAGATTTAGGTCTCCCTGCTTTAGAGTTGCTTGGATGTGAACCCGTGGAAAGTTGCCTTGAAATCAAAGAAGTGTTTCTTGGTCATCCACGGCGGCCATGGGATTCTTGCAGGTGATCCCAGTCCATATAACTGGAATCAAATAACTGAGTCACACACGCATCTGTCAGCTGTGTTTTCTTCTTCTGAAGTCAGAGAAGGAGAGCACAAGAGGTTGGATTCTTCCAACTTGGCATGTAGAAGGCAGGTAAAGTGACATCTTCGTCACGGGGCCAACACCAGCTGAAGACAAAGGATGTCTTCCAGCAGATACAAAAACCGAACACGGTTCTATTCAGATGTACTTACACAGACCACCCACATGGAATGCAATTGCTGATGAGGCCGAAATGGCAGCACTCACCAGTACATGATGTGTAGGTAGCATTCTAGGAGCAGAAGATATTTAATGCTTCCTGTCCGCCTACGTTTAGGAAACACTCTTCTGCCAGCCTCACTCTCACCTGTTCAGATCGACGAGGTAGTCCTCTCTGTGTGTGTTGTGTGGTATGCATATAAGATCTATGGTGAAGGTTACAAGCTATATAAAAGCATAGCAAGAACATCGTCATCATACTCTTCTTGTTTATGCTCTTCTCTTACATTTCCTTCCTCCTCCTCGCTTCAGTTGCATTGCAGACATGTCCATGAACCCTATAACTCAACATCACCCACAATTTTGCTCTTGGGCGCCACCCTTGGGTAATCCCCACCTGTACCGCCATCACACGTACCGAGTGTCGCAGGAAGGAGACCAGTATGAGAGAGAGCACATGTTCGAGAAGTCCCTGACTCCAAGCGACGTAGGCAAGCTGAACAGGCTGGTCATACCAAAGCATTACGCGGAGAAGTACCTCCCCCTCGACGGCGAGGCGGGCGAGAGAGGTCTTCTTCTGAGCTTCGAGGATGAGTCGGGTAAGCCATGGCGGTTCCGCTACTCGTACTGGAGTAGTAGCCAGAGCTACGTGCTGACCAAAGGCTGGAGCCGCTTCGTCAAGGAAAAGGGGCTCGATGCCGGGGACCTTGTGAGCTTCGGGCGTCTACGGGGGGGAGTCGACCGTCTCTGCATCAGTTGCAGGCGCCGCGGTGAAAACGAGAGACCACCAGCGGCTTGCACTGCGACCACGGGCGACGCCGCCGTCCCATGGAGCCCCACATGCTACACGGCGAGGGCGCATGCTCCGACGAGCCACACAGGTAGAATTTGCTGTATTAGGTCATACAACTCGATGTGAAATGACTGCATGACATGATGACGATGACAGATTGTTGATACGCATTCACTGCTTCCAGGTGACCAAGACCTGTCAATGGCACCCACTCACTCGAAGCGTTTGAGACTGTTCGGCGTTAATCTGGACTGTGCGCCGGCGCCGGAGCCGGAGACAAAACTGGTTCTTGCTCTGGAAACAGAGTCAACTCGTTCCGGCCACCAATGCCTCCACAAGCATATCTACTAGAGATTGGCATCCGCGGTAATTCAAGCTGATTTAGATGGAGGAGAAGAAAGAGGAAGATGCTGAGGCCATGTTCCGACATCCTACCGACCAGTTCTCTCCTTCCCCAGGTGACAGACACCCAAGAACCAGGGCAGAGCAGTAAGTGAGGAGAAGAAAACAAGGGAGGGATTGAAAAGTAACAGTAGCAGTGGCAGTAGAAGTAGTAGAGAATCGTGAGGTTCCTTAGCTTTAGCTACTCACGATTTGCATGTACTTAATTTTGTAAGCCGATCGAGAACCGATAAAGTGATCTAATGGCACTGTAATCGATCATTTCCTGTTTGATTTTGCTTCCATGAATTGCCAAAGTCTTTACTAGCGACTCTTTGGGAAGAAAGACTTCGAGTGTGAGTTCACACGAGACAATGTGTTAAAGGCTAAGAAACAAGTCCACATTCCAACGGGCTAAGCCTAAAAGGTTAGAGACCTTTGTCTCCTACTTTAGTGCTTGCTTTTAAGTTTAATGATGTTTAATATAACCTCATGCCTTTCATGTGCCATAACCTAAATTATGTGGTTTTTTCAATCGAAAAATCAATTGCATCAAGTTATTGCGCCGATCTTATAATCTATTATTCACAATGGATTGTTGAAGTCTTTATCAACTAAACTAATCAGTATCGTTATCGCGTTACGTATGAAATAGCAATGGATCCCTCTAATTAACTAAAAGGCAAAGATATATAAAGCTTAAAAATAGTGAAATGAAAGTAAGATGAAGGTTCATCCTGATCATTATAAATTATTAGGCAACCTAAAAAGACATGTCACGCATTACCCATTCAAGAATAGTAAATTGGAAATATATGATTTCTTGGTAGGTGATTATTTATAATGATGTAGGAGAGACTATAGTATGCGAATCATTCGTTAGGCCAAAAGAGTGATGTATGAATTGACCTAATATATTAGGTTATACCAAACTATCATTACATTATAGTCCTCCCTTTGGTATTAGGTTTCGAAGCGATAGAAAGATTAACATAAGTTTAACATCACTCAAGTGTCACACATATAGTATATTCAATTGTTTATAATATATTAAATTATATTATTTTCTTTTAAATTATGATTTCATGAAATTAATAGTTTTATCTCATGATCTGTTTGGGATAATTAGAAATTAGTCCATGTAATTAACTATCCTTAGCATCTCAATCCTTATATTTTCAAAAATTATATTCATATACTTATGAAAGTAAAATATTTAATTATATTTCTTATCATGTCGTCGATTGTGTTAACGAAAATACCGTACATGTTCAATGATAAACCTTAAGATATTTTTATCAACAAAATACTTGGTATAGAAATCTCAATATAACTTTTGAATATTGGCTTGATTTATTTATATTATTTTTATTTCCTCATGTGTCACATGATATTGTGAGATTATCTTGTATGTGTCACCAACTCATAGCTCGATAAAGTGTATGATGGTCATAAGTAAATAGATCATGAAAACATTCGGAAATGATTGACGTCGACAATGGAATAGAGTTGACAACGAAATATCTTATTTGACCCACGCGGCGGACTAAAGCACTTGCATTCACAAGCACTGAAGTCGTTGATCTATCATTATACGCACCGATGTTTGTCTTCGACTTCCATCGTAAAGGAGAGAATGTAACACACACTCTAAAAGGAAGTGAGGCGAAACAATCTCGTGAAAGAGAACTCACAGAAATCAGCAACACATTGTGCCAACCCACTTTGGACCGGTTGACCTTATCCGCTACCTCGGATAACAAGTGGCTTCCTTTTGCCCTAATCTTTTAGCCCCACCCCGCCAATGGCGTCCATCTTTGGTGCCCAAGCAGCAACACGTCCATTACTCGAACTGATGAGAATAGATAAAGCAGAATAAGGAGGACATAAGAAGTCGGTTGACTAATGAATTAGGAATCTTTAAATTGACTTATGTAATCATCGCCCGGTCAATGCGTGCATTAGCTACACAAAAGAGCAAGTTTTAAATCGAATTCATAATCTCAGTTTTGTAGCTTGATGCAATAAAGGATGAGTAAAAACCTTGATAGTTTATCGTAAGATCATATCATCTTTATTATTTATTTTTTAGAATAAATAAATAAAATAAATGCAATTAAACTAAGGTGTTTTATTATGTTGATATTTCATCACCAATTATAACATTTCTTATACTTATGTTTGAGGGATAGGGAATCGTTGTTTGGGGTTTGGGTGATGATAAATATAGTGTGATTCACGATATATGCGCGATATTTTTTTCTATAAGAATAGGTAATTGGATGTAAGAGATCTAAGTATCTACTATACATTTAGTTCCAAAATTTAAATTGCTTCTGTTTAGAAACTTTGCATGGATTGACATCTCGATTTAATCCTACATTAGATGATAAATGGGTTAAAATTTAAAAGAAGAACTGTCCACACAACTGTAGAATGCCATAGCTTAGTTTTGTGATTGAATTGGTACATATCATAAATCCTATTTTTTTATTGGTTTCTTTAAATATTTAAGTTTTTTGGCCTCATAATAAAGCCAGAAAATAAAAAGACCAATAGAGCCTCGTCTATAATAAGGTATAAAAACTCAAAGCAGTCATCTGAAAGATGAAAAGAAAGAAGAACAAAGGTGGTTAAGCACTTTGCTTCTCGGAGAGGGCAAGTCTTTCCTTCCCATCACGCCACGCCCATGGTCATCATGTGTGCTGATCTAAAGAACCATAAATGGTGGTCATTCGACTAATCCTCTTCGTAAGAGGGCAAAAGCAGGAAGACATGTTTGTTTAACCAAACTTTTTCTTCACAATAAAAAAAAGAAAAGAGGAGAAACGAAGATAACTTCGCATCTCAATCATGGCCGGCCGGCACAGTTATGGAATCAAGAAAAGAAGAAGACGTCGTCTTCTAACTCCATCTTGAACAGAGGAGTGGAAGGTGAAAAAGTGCATGGATATTGATGGGTGGCAGTGGATCTACTCTTTCTTTTGCTTCTCTTTATTCCTCGAGTGGTCCAGCGGTGATTCTAATCTATCAGATCAGGTTCCTCCTCGTGGACCCGAACATGGCTTCTCAGGAAGATTCACCTGTCACCACTCTGATAACTACGGCCATCATCCCATCCTCCATGGCATCTCGCGATGTAAATGTTGAGGAGGAGATAGGGAATGATACTGCACACTATGGTTTCTATCCAAACATGCTTGTCTTGTTGGTAAACCATCCACGTAGGATCGAAGCATGCGATAATTAAGATCATAAATGGATGAAGGTGAAGCACTATCTTTAATTACTTACTGATAGAAAATAAGATTTTTTTAAAAAATCTCTTTATTCTATTGTGGATCTATTCTGTTGAGAGAAATCCTTGAACATGTTAATGTATTTAAGTTAAAGCTTTTTCGTTTCTTCGATAAAATTTTTTCAATGATTGTTTTTATTTTCTATTCTTTTCATCACTTACGGTAGTAATTTACGATGATCATTTTATTCATACGATAAGATTGTCTTCGATCAAATCTTATTCATTAATCACAATCAACTCTCAAATTTAAAGAATTAAAACTGGGGAAAGGGAAAGAATCTTAAAGGAAGCTTTTGCTACACACCTTTTCTTGGTAGCAATCAATCCAACGCACCACAAGTGACATGACTCCCCATCAAGAATCCCATTGCTTCTGATGGATATTTATTTTTTGGGAAGACCATAGCACGACTTATATTTCTTTGTCTTTATATATATATATAATATGAATAAAAACAACTATTATTTCTGCACAGGTATACAATAGAGGATAGGGTAAAATTGTAAGTGGAATTGCCACACATTTGACAGAGGATGTAACTCGAGAAACAACAAAGAATCAAAATGGGACAGACTCTCTCTCAGAAGGAACAGTATAGAAATCATCAACTTAGATGCCACTACGATACAGCTTTCAGGTATATGGTTTTTTGTTTTCCTTTTTCTTTTAGACTCTTTTTTTTTACTGCGAGTGTGTCTTTTCCGTTCATTGGGAGCCCATATAATCCAAATTACAATTAAGAAAAATGGTACTTCCCGGCACCCAAAATTATACCCCGGAAGCACCACCGTGTTCTCTTCCCACGGGGTGGCTCAGCCCCTCTGCCGCTTTTGTTAGGTGACCATTTTGTTCTGCGTCAAAGCTGGCGTGCACGCTGTAGAAGACATAGACGAGTACGGCGAACACCGAAAAGAACCCGAACCGCACGTACGACGGCCCGTCGAGCGAGCCCAACAAGAACACGTTGAGGAACACGGAGACGGCGGGTACCCACGGCATCAGTGGCACGCCCCAGTGCTCCGGCTTCCGAGCCTGTGGCACCAGGGAATTGAATACCTGGAGCACGGCGACGGCCACCACGGTGCAGCCGCCGAGCAGCACCGCCTTGGCCAACCCAGCAGGAGCGAATCGCCAAATCAGAGTGATGGTGAGCGAGACGAAGGAGAAGGCGAGCAGGAAGGATATGGTCGGCCAGGGGTTGGTCGAGCCCACCGTCACGTAGCGCCGGTACACCACCGCGTTGCTCACCATGTAGAAAACGAAAAGCGTGCCTATGGACACGAGATTGAGGAGGACGTCGAGGTCGGTGAGGAGGGCGATCACCGCCGTAAAGGCTCCTGCATGGATCGGTAACTAGTGGAAATCAATCGAGGTCCACAACTTGTTAAACAATTTAACTATTTCATAAAGGAGGACGACAGCAGGAAGCACTTCCTTCCTTCCTTCCTCGAAACCCGTTTTCTTGTTCTTGTAATGAAAGGGATGTTTGACCTGTTGGACCTTTGTGGATGGAACTTGTCTGATCCACTTCTCGGTATCTTCCCACTATGACTGGCTCCCAGAATGCTTATTTTCATGGGAGGACGCGTCGCTCTCACCGGCACAAGTAGGCAATTAACTAAAAGCGAAGAGCAGCAAATGCGGTGCCACTCTTCGGCTCGCAGCTCGAGTCTCGAGTGCCATGCAAATAATTATCGTTCACATGCGCTCAATCGAACGGCACTTTTGTTGTGTCTCGTCCAAGAAAGAACACATCAACATAAATCATGCATGTGGGTTACATGTGACTACAACAGTAGACGACAGTGCATCTAGAGAAACAGAGAGGCGTAGGAAAAGATAAGTTGGAGAGAGAGAGAGGAGGTGCTAACCGAGGAAGGCGGAGGCGTTGACGGGAGTGGACGTCTTGGGGTGGACCTGGGCGAGCCAGGCAGGAACGACGCTGGACCGTCCGATGACGCAGAGGTAGCGCGCCTGGCCGAGCATGGAGACGAGGAGCGACGTGAGGATCCCGAAGCTCGCCCCCGCCCCAATCACGTTCGACACCCATCCCCAGCCGTCCGATCCCCTGAACGCAGCCGAGAACGGTGACTCCTTGTCGATCTGATGAAGAAATACATGTCCACTTTGTTATTGTTTCCTCTTCGGTCTGTCATTATCAGATCATCATCGTTCGTAAACAGAAAAGCAAAAGCCCAGAAGACGCCACCGGCCCACCCGTCAACGGACGATCAACCGTTGGTTTGAGATTGATCGATACAAGGAGGTTTAGTCACCACGGGGGTTCACCGCCACCGTGGACAAAACCATCTCGTTCCATCAAAACCACCCAGAACGACAACAACCCCCCCCTCGTGGTCCCACCATAAAACAAGAAGCGTGAAGGAGAGCAGAAACTTACGGCGTCGTAGGGGACGAGCATGGACATGGAGACGGCCATGAGGCAGTAGAGGAGGGCGACGAGAGCGACGGAGCCGGAGACGCCGATGGGGATGTCGCGGGCGGGCTTTCGCACTTCCTCCGCCATGGTGGAGACGGCGTCGTAACCGATGTAGCTCAGGTACACCATGGCCGCCCCGTTGAAGACGCCGGCCACCCCGTAAGGCAGGAACCCGCCCCGGCTCTCCGCGGGGTTCGCCGGGTGCGTGAGGTTCCGCACGTCCCCCCGCCAGAACCCCATCACGATGATGAACAGGATGAACGCGATGTGGATCGCCGTCAGCACCATGTTCAGGACCGAGCTCTCCTTGGTGCTGCAGCCAATTCAGTAATTTCTAAGAAAAGGGAATCGACCAGAGCAATCACGAGAGCTACAATGGTTGCAAGGGAAAAAATGGGGAAAAAGTTGGCCTTTCACAGATAAATGGTGAGACGTCTTTCAAGAACAAGAAAGCAAATCGAGCAGGACGTTTCCGCTCCTTGGGATAAAAAGCGACTTTCCAGCTAGAACTACACAACGCGACCCAAAACGTAGGGAGAAAGAAAACAGAGGAAGACACGACCGAGGAAAGAGACTTTCGATAGATGGTTGTATGTAAAGGTCGACACGAAACAACATTGAGAGACTGTACATGATATGTGGAGAAAACGAGACAAACGAGATGGGAGGACAGCGCATAGAGGTTGAAGAGGAACGGCAGGGACAGTAAGGCAGAGCAACTCTGTGTGGTGGTGTGACAAGTGACCCACCATAAAGGACAACACAAGGAGGCCGCAACGACAGCCACAGGGGGCACTGTCCGGTCCCTTTTTCCCTCCTCGATTCATATAATAGGAAGGAGCGAGCGGCGCGGTATACCTGTAACATATGCACATAGAAATGAGCACGATGACGGCCACGGCGAGGAGATCGATCTGATTGAAGCCCTTAGGGAGGCCGATGATGATGATCCTCCATTTGGCGGCGGTGTCCACCCCGATGGCCGTGCCGAGGTAGGCCGTGAAGCTCCGCGCCACGGCCGCGTTGGAGAACACGTACTCCATTATCAGATTCGCCCCCGTCAAAAAGGCCGCAAATTCCCCTGGATAATAACCGATAGAAAGAAGCGTATAATTCACCGAAAGAAACCAAAGATACGGAATCGAACACTCGATTAGATTCATCGCAACGCCACCACCAACAACGAGGAACAACAATACTAAATAAAATAAATCAAGAATTGAACTGGTTCGTGGGTAACAGGAAAAGGGAGATTTCAGGAAGGTGTCCAGTGAATTCCCTGTCGAGTCTTCAATCTAAAGAAAGGAGAAGTCATCTTCGGAAGACGTGAATGGGGCCGCTGAAGCAGAAAAGAAGGATGCAGGACTTGTTCGCTTCCAGAAAACCACAGAAGAACCAAAAACTAAAATCCAGCTAAAATTCTGAAAGTTTCGTCCTCACAAAAAAACAAAAGACACCAACTTGGGAAATTGTTCATGATAAAAAAAAAGAAAGAAAAGGAGCCACCGCAGGGGAAGGAAGAGTATCAGAACATTTAACGGCGCCGAAACAATTACTCACCGAAGGTGACCCTAAGGTAGCTGAAAGCCCCGCCGGCGACGGGCATGTCGACCGCGAACTCGGTGTAGCAGAAGGCGGAGAGCAGGGCGCAGAGGCCCGCAATGGCGTAGGAGAGCACGATGGCGGGGCCGGCATAGAGACGGGCGGCGCGGCCGGTGGCAACGAAGACGCCGGCGCCGACCATACCACCGAGCCCAAACCCGACGAGGTCCGGCCACCGCAGGGACCGCGCCATATCGGCCCCCGATCGGGCCCGGACCCGGCTCATCTCCTCGTACGTCGTCGTCACCGACGCGGCCCGCCGCCCGAGCCTCCGGTGCGTTTCCGCCAGCGCCCGACCGTACGCTCCGAGACTCGCGAACGACGACGAGTGCGGCGAGGGAGAGGAAGAGGAAGAGGTGGCGATCGGCTCCTGCAGCTTCTCCATCCTCTTTGTTCCCTCTCCTCTCTGCTCCTTCTCACTCTTGTGTTTTGCGTGAGCGGGTGAGGAGAGACGGGGGGGGCGCGGGTGCATTTATTTATATAGACAGGATTGGGAGCTGACTGCAAGCAAACGCTTCGGAGGAGAGAGAGTACCGAACAGAAGTATACGCGTACATAAAAAAAGGGTGTTTGGCGTCCGTGGAGGCGAATGATACATGTCCAAAGACGCTCATGACTCCATGGATTCCCCGACGAGGCAAGGCTTACGTGAATCGCGAAAAATAACCGCATATTCGTACGCACCACCCCCCCATTATCTCATACCACAGCCTCATCCTCCTCCTAAAGTGGGTCAAATATGAAAGAGGGGCCCACCTGCCCGTTTAGGCAGGCTATAATGTGGAGTTCGAGCCAGCTGAGAAAAGAAGGAGACACAGTTTAGTGGCCTAAAAGGCTTTCGGTGTGCAGGATCGCTACATGTACACCACGCCATAAAGTTGGCGAGCGAGTAAAAAACGTAATACGCACGACGATCTCTGTAGATATTTGGTGCCTCGGCTTTCGTCTGATTTCGATTGATCGTTGCCTCTGTGATCAAATGCAAAGAACGATGCGATTCGTGTGTTGATGCGCTCTGCTGCGTCTCTATCGTAATTATATCGAATGCTAACGAGTTAAGGATCGGACATGGCCACATCATGCGCTCATCCATCATTCACGGTGGCAATGTGGTGCTACAGTAGACTCCTGTACAGTCTGAGCTGAGTTGGATTCGATGATGCAACCATATGATGTGGAAACTATGCAAATGGAGGGATTTCTATTAACTTTTCCTATCGGACAATATAAGTATTTATTCCATAGTCATTCGATCATTCTAACAAATTGATTGGCACCACAACACACATGATTGATTATTTTCGATGTAACTTTGTTGATCCCATAATTGCACGATTGAATGTGCAGCAAACATTCAAATGAAAACCCTAATCATGACGAGGCATGGGAAGAAGGCTTACGAGCCGAACACTTAATACGGGGAGGAGGAGGGTAAAGTGAAGTTGACTTGCGCATACGGAAGCATCTCAGAAAAAGGGGAGGCCAAAGTCTCCTGGCTGTACGAAGGGCTCATCCCGTGCTTTGAGATTAGTGGACGGACCGACGGACGGACGGTAGGGTTGGGTTGGGTACGCGGATCAGCACGATCATGGATTGATTGGTGAAAGTGTCGACCCCAATTAATGGGTGTGGCGAAGGGCTTTTCGTGACCGATTGGGTCAACTCTTGGTGCCTACTTTAATGTATGATAAAAAATGTCGGACCGGATTCAAATACATAAAGTTAACGCCATCTTATGAGCACAATAAATGTTACGTGCAATTATAAGCCTAACCTAATATTTAGTGACAGCTACCAAAGACGTTTTGTGACAGACAATGTGACATGAGGAAAAGGACAAGGGGTGCATTAACTGTGACAGGCTTGAAAGAGAGACATGACTGAACAAACATTTTAGCGGTCGAGATAACTTATTTACTTGGCATAGTCACCGATTTGGCACTTACTGACTCGGATCGTCACATCTGTGTGGATGCCTCAAGAAAATAGAATACCAAACCAAAGCAAAAGTCAACATACGAGAGCATGGGGCGCTGACTCAAATCATCGTCCTTCATCGATTGCTAATAACCATTGCAATCGAGTGAATAATACAATCGCATGTCATGCATTAAGTTCTTTTTTATCTCCAATTTCAACGAGCATCGGACAAAGATCTCGTATGATATGAAGTGCTCATATCGTTGAATTCCGCCTCAACATCTATCTAGATTCAAACCGATGTAATATAATAGCTAAAATACTACAATGGCTAAATGTGTGATCTTTATCATACAAGAAAATCCAATATCTACAAAACTGAAGATACGATAATGGCTAAATGTGAGACCGCGTTGCGCGGGTTCAAGTTTGGAGGTCGGCAACCTCAACGGTAACGACGCTGACTCGGTTTCCTCCGTTACCGACCCACAGCCTCGGTGCCACAGTAATAAACATGAGTCGCGTTGATGCCACGTATCCACAAAAGCAGGGACCCCACATCTCATGATCTGTGAGGGCGAGAGGGAGCAGGTGGGGACCAGCAAGCATCGATGACGGCTATTGGTAATGACCGTGGGGTCCATCTTATCCAACCCTTTTATATTATTGGTAGTCATTCCGCGGGACCCACGTCGGGGTTCGCGTTTCCGCGCTCCATCTGCGCCGGAGGACTACAGTGCAAGCACAGCGTGTGGCATCTCCGCAAGCCGCCGTTATTCGCACGATACCGATTTAAGAGGTTACCATCAACGGTCGATTTCGAATCAGATGAAGGTGATATTTAGAATCAGAAACCTTTATTAATTTTAATAATTTAATAAAAATTAATTAAAGAAGTATTTTTATTTATTTATTTATTTTTAAAAAATAAAATAAAATAAAATAAAATAAAAATAAAAATAATCTATTTTAAAAATCGGCATAAAAATTATGGGGAATCGATGGAATTCCAATTCCAAACCGGGAAGAAGCGAAAGCACCGATTCTAGAGTCGGGACGAGGACAAGCTGCTGCGACTGTGGTGATCTTATCGGTGCTACCGTCACGGGTGTAATGAGGGCGCATGCATACAGGAAGACGACGAGGTGGATAAAAAGACAGCAGAGCTACGCGATGAAAGCTTGCACAAGATTCAAAGACCTGCCTATGTGGCACAGGAAACTATGCGTCTAATCTCATAAAGGTCGGCGGCGTACAACAGTTGCTGCAATTGGGACAGGGTGACGGAATTGTCTGTCAACATACAATTTCTGAGGAGAGAGAGAGAGAGAGAGAGAGAGAGAGACTGTCGAAGAACATATGTGAGATCATGCAATTGCTCTTTCTTTTTTTCTTTCTGTATTTAGCATTTATTACGAAGAGAGTAAGACTTTCTCTGTTGTAACCATTTCCAAGTTATATTTCTAATTTGATGAGGCAAAGTGACACATGCCCCGCCCTATCTGCATTGCACCTATAACATCTTTGATACCCCGATCATTGCATCATAAATGTTTGGCAATCCGACGTGAAAATGAGTTTAATTGATCGAGAAAAAAATATTCATGTTTCATATTTTAAGATAGAAAATGCTCGTATCTTGTTATCTTATAATCACTTCGGTTCGAAAGAAGAAAATATGAGAGAATGTTCGCTTCAAATATTTTGCTAACATAAATTTCTGATCGAAGCCGATCGTAAGTTAACCAATAGAGTAAACTCTAATTTGATTTTGTGCAAATTTGGTTTCTTTAACGATCGCAATCCTAGATTAACTTAATCATGTTAATGAATTAGCCAAAAGGACAAAGTGAGATTAGTATGGAAAATTTGAAGATTTATCGTTGACTCTAAAGGTTCGTTTTGTTTAAGAATAAAGAAAATATAAAAGATAAGGAACAAAAGAGATGAATACAATTACTTACATTATTGTTCTTCTTAACATAGAAATAAACAATCTATTAACACTTCGTTAATAGATTATACTTACATTATACTTCATTTTCAATCCGTCTTGATCCTTCAACACTCCTATGCGTTGACATGATTGTATTGCTTTCGAGTTATGAATGCTATAAGATCCAAGTAATCACAATACCGAAAAGATATGTTGAAAGGCATTTAAGATTGACGAGATCGAAAGAAAGGTTGACATTCCTTGAGAAAAGTTATACCTATAGTTCATGAAAGTTCCCCAAACTTAAGTTCCATCAAAAGACCAAACGAACGGTGTTAAGTTGTGGAGATCGACAAAGTTAGGAATATTGCAGCAGTATATTCGAGAAAATCTCTAGCAACAGATCTTATGTAATCTCTATGGAGAGATCCATGCCATAAAGTTGGTATGAACAAAACAAAGTGGGTGGTGCAGACTTGATGGTATCTTTGCGGGCGTGGTAGTATCACCAAATATATGATCTATCCAAAACTTTTGGATATCATATTCTACTACACATTCAAACACATTCTTAGCATGTTATTCTTATGGTTGACAAATATTTCTAAAGTTTTAATAAATCTCAGTATCCTAGTAAAGATAAGAACAACATAAAAATATCTTAATTATTATTAGGAAAAAAGTTATTGATATCTTGATCAGTCTAATGTGATTGGATCCGTATGCACAGGATTGTCCAAAGTATCTCCAAGGTAAAAACACTGATCTCCCAAGATATCACTTGCACGAAGATCGAGAGTGTTTTTCGATTCCATCCCTTCAACGTCCAAATTGTTAGGATCAAGAGCACTAAGAGAGGGGGGGGGGGGTTGAATTAGTGCAGCGGAAATCTTTCAACGATAAAAAAAAATGTTCGAACGATAAAAACGATTTCGGTGTGAAAGACGATTCTAAGATTCCTTTAACTTAAGATCAAGCGAGATGACGTTAAAGTCAATCTATGAAGGCAGTTTGTAGTTATGATGAAAACCAGAATATAAGCGCAAACTGAAATACGACGTTCGTACGAAGAAACTGATTTACGTCTAAATGCTGATTCGTAAATCACTTGATTAGGCGAGATGCAGTTTAAGCAAGGATATAAAGGCAGTTTGCAGTTATGATAGAAATCAAAACGTAAACGCAAACTGAAATATGGTGATCGTACGAAAAAACAGATTTACGTCTAAACGCTGATTCGACAAGTGCAAAGCTTGAAACCCGATCGTATATGCGCAGAAAGTAGTAAGCTTTAGAGGAGGTTCGCAGTAAAGATAATATGCTCAAAGTAAATGCAAACCGAGATTTAGAGTGGTTCGGTCAATCTTGACCTACTCCACTTTTGACTTCCTCCACCGACGAGGTCACCGACATCAACTAGAGGCCTTCCTTCAATAGGCGAAGGCCAACCACCCTTTTACAGTTTCACTCCTTTTGACGGGCTTAGGAGACAACCCTTACAGAATTTTCTCTCCTCTCTTTACAACTCAGAACTTGGAAGAAAGAGGGAGAAGAACTTTTGGCCTTTACAATAATTTTGAGCTCTAAAAATCACAGAACAAGATCAAGATTTCGGTG